TTTTTTTTTTTTTTTTTTTTTTTTTTTTTAGGGAAAAAGAAAATAATAAATGGTAGGGAATAGGGGAAATGTTTAGGATTGAAGTACTAACGTAATTAATTAACAGCATGTCATGAACATAGTGGAAAAAAGTTTTCGAATAAAAACGAATTGTCATTTTCAGGATATTTACCGATCAGTATAGGTAAGTCGCATTATTACATAGTAATTTCAGTATGCTGCAATTATTCTGGGTTGCAAATTGTACATCAAAATCACGAAGGCCACGTGTATTTTCGACGGTGGTGGTTTGGCTTTTTTTTTTTTTATAAAAATTAACTCTTCGCTTTGGTGGTCGGAGATTGTTATTTCACAGCTTTTATTAACAACGTGGAAAAATTTATCACGGAGAAAATTTTTTCAATCACGTTCGGAAACTTGGAAATTTAATCTGGAATTTAATTGAACGGGGGAGAAAGGATTATTATTAATCGAAAGAAAGAATATTTGCTTATGCTACATACGTAACAGTAGTGTTACAAAGTTATCATTTTATTATTCATTTAACGTTTTATTGATTTTGAAGCGAACGGCGCGTATTATCTTGTAATAATAACTTTAAGAGTGTACAGGCAAAAGGTTAATACGTGTATACGGTTGAAAGAATGACGAATCCGTTGAACGGGGAGGAAAGGAATTTTTATTGGATATTCAAGAATTTATTGCGCCTCGAGAAAAGTCGTTATCGAACCTCCTTACATCCGAACTTTTTAAAAAGTTTGAATAACATTTGAATAACGATGCAACGAATCCTACGAATATCGATTTTTCCATTATCCAATATAAAAAGGAGGGGGGATGAAAAAAAAGGAATCCGGATTATCAGGTGATTCGATTCGATTCCGAATAAAAGTAAACAACTTTAATTAATCGTTCGAATAAATTAGTAAAAAAAAAAAAAAAAAAAAAAAGAAAGAAAAGAAGAAACAAGAAAGAGAAACGAGAGATCGACGATAAAATTCGATATTAATCGTAACGTTATCACGGATATCCGGTTGGCCGTATAATATATAGTACGGTAAATACTTTCACGATGCATCGAGTGCACGCCAAGTGGAAGTGCACCGTGTGCAAATATTTTTATCTCCCAGAGTGCAAACACCGTGTCGAGTGTCCGCTTTGCTCTCCATCTGTCGTAGCCGGATTATCGCTATTACAGTTTCCATGGTGGAATCCGCATAATCGATCGAACTCTTCGATTTTTGGGGGACAGGATCTCCATTAAAAAAATTCACCAGTCTCTTCTTCCAATTCAACACTTTATCATCAACGATTATATATATATATATCAGAGGACACATAGAAACTTGTGCATCTGTGCTACATTCGATCCAAGCATAGGAAAAATATTCTCGTGATTTTTTTCCCTTAATTCTTCAACTTTTTCCTCCCCAAGGATAAGAAAGGAAAACACACTCGATATAGAATAATAAGAAATCGAGAGAATTTCGGGACAATTGCGAAATACTCAAAAAATATATCGAAGAATCTGTTGCCAAGGTTCAACGAGCCAATCCAAGATTATTCAAAAAAATGATCTCGTTACCTCGATCCGCCGGTGAAGGTGTGCAACAATTTGTTTCGTTACTCGAAGAATTCGTTGCCAAGTTCAAGGATAGTTTTCGATAGTCTTCTCTGGAGGAAGAATTTCACGGCTTACGAAACGGCCACGCGTCTCGAATACGCACGAAAATCGTAATTTGGTAAATGTATTGGCGCTGATGCTGATTGCGGAGAAGGGGGGAGGGGAGGGGAGGAGGGCGCACGTTAATTGCGAGCGCGAAAATGGTGGGCAGACGAGATGTTTACGAGGTTGTGGCGAGCAATTACGCTTTAACGGCCGCCATGAAGCCTTCGCGTTTGCCAACCGCGTTCTTGCGTAATTCTTGTTTTCGTGACGTCATCAGGTAATAGCAGGTAATAGTAGCCTTCGTCCTTTCTTTCTTCCTCTCGCGGAATCAATTTTCTTTCTTTCTTTCTTTCTTTCTTTTTTTTTTTCTTTTCTTTTTATAGGTCGAAAAAAATAGGAGTCAAATTGGAGACGATTCGATTGGATCGATTCTCGTTACTCTCGTTGGAAGAAATTTGTGTATCGTATTTAGAAATTCGATTCATTATGAAATTGATCGCGAAATCGTTTTTAACGATAACTTGAAAGGGAGACGAATGAATGAAATTGTAATGGCGCAATGGATGTGATGGATATTCTTGGCAAGTATCGAAGGGATTTTAGATTCGGGATTCAATGATAAAAATTGCCTCTTTTGTAAAATTTACTTATTTACACCCGTATCTTTTTTACGACTTTGTGTAATTATACTCAATCTCACTGGATGACTCTTGGTTAATTAGTATGTTGCGCAGACTCTTGAGAATTTAATAGGATTGTTGACAGGAAAACGTCTTAAGTGACAAGAAATGTACGTATTTGTAAATATTATCATTATCAAATTCCAGTATTAACGCGATAATAAAGCTCTTTTTACCATTCAACAAAAAAAAAAAAAATAAAGAAAAATTCTCTTCATCTTTTGAGATTCACGAAACATCATACGATTTGAATATCAATTGGAAAATGTAATTTTCTTCCCTTAGTCTCTCCAATATATTTTCTCAGGCATTAAAACACATAAGGGTTGCGGAAAAATTGGAGAAATTATTAAACGATTCAGAACGAATGCGAAAATAATTCTGATTGTTCCAATGATTTAACCCAAGAAGAAGAAGAAGAAGAAGAAGAAGAAGAAGATTGTAAGGCGTATGGAAATGAATAAAGATAGAAAAACGGGCGGGCAACAAGTCACACGTCGTTGTCCTCGAAAAATACTCGAGCGTGCAGCTCTGGAAAATCAATATTGACCGTCGAACATCGGTGGGAAAACAACGATTGGACACGTTTAAACGTGTAGCCAATCGCGTGCGCGCGGTTCCATTTATTTTCCAAAGTCGTTTGCATGATATCGACGAAATTTTCCAAAAATCGACGTCTATCGTCGATCAACAATCGACTCGATTGTTGCTATATATTTCTCTTCGAAAATACGACTTGGCTCGATACTTGAATCCTAAATTCGTCAATCCTATTTTCAGCTTCGTATTCTTGCTTCAGTCGTGAATCAATCGATTCTCTCCAATACCAAGTAACATTTCAAGATTTCAAAATTTCAAGATTTTGTTTTAAAAGATGTCCAGAAAGAGAGAGAGAGAGAGAGAGAGAGAGAGAGAGAGAGAGAGAGAGAGAGAGAGAGAGAATTGCCAAGAAATCCACGAGATTTCAACCTAAATTGTAATCAGAAATCGATTTAATTATTCCAAACTTTTTAAAATTATTTTAAAATTGAAAAGTCGAACCGAAACGATCTCCTCGATCTCCTCGATCTCATCCAACCCCGATCGTTGGTCGATCGTTGATTCGATTCCAATTAATTCTCGATCCTCGAATCGGGATTTTCAAAAAAAAAAAAAAAAAAAAAAAAAAGAAAAGGAAAGGAAAGAAACGAGTACAGCTCGGCCGGATTTGCGCTCGCCGATCTCGGTTTCACGGCCCACCACCAGAGAGGTAGAGTCGAGGAATCCGAGGAATTGAGGCCGATTGACGCGTTCATTAAAATAACGACCTCCGGCTTCTGCGTCAAGACGAGAACCATTTGCGAATAGAGGTGCACGCGTGTGTGCAGCGTGTACGTGGTAATCACTATCCCGGGAATTAATGTCCATCAGTGCGCCCGTTTCCGTTCTCCGTGGACGACGACAACCGAGCTGGTCATCGATCGCGCGTAGTAATTCCGAACTAACGCGAAATGTTTGACAAACAATTTTGAGAAAGAAGATGTATATGTGTATATCGGTTTCGATTTCTTTCGAGGAGAAATTTTTTGTTCTCCAAAAGCGGATGTGGAGTTAATGTCCATCAGTGCGCCCGTTTCCGTTTTCCATGGACGACGATAACTGATTATCAATCATTCATAGTAATTATATTGATAATAAATATTATTAATATAATTATAAAATATAGTAATAAATATTCATAGTAACGTGAAACGACGTTCTTTGATAAATAATTTTGAGAAAGAAGATATATATATATATATATTGATTTCGAATTTTTTGAGGAGAAATTTTCTCAATGGACGATGACAATCAAATTGATTATCGATCGTATTCAAAGTAACATGAAATGACGACAAATAATTCTTTGACAAATAATTTTGAGAAAGAAGATATATATATATATATACATATATATATATACATTTCGAATTCTTTAGAGAAAAAATTTTCTCCATGTTTTCTCCAAATTTTTTGTTCTTCAAAAGCGGATGTGGAATTAATGTCCATCAGTGCATCCGTTTCCGTTCTCTATGGACGACGACAATCGAGTTGATTATCGATCGATCGTATTCAAAATAACGTGAAACGACGATCTTTGATAAATAATTTTGAGAAAGAAGATATATATTTATTTCTATACATATAAATCTTATATATATCGATTTCGAATTCTTTCGAGAAGAAATTTTCTTCATGGACGATGACAATCAAATTGATTATCGATCGTATTCAAAGTAACATAAAACGACGATCTTTGATAAATAA